AATTATTTGTGTTGTTATTACAAGTGTTGCTGTGACCCCCTAGGAAAAGGTTATGCCCCGCCCTGTACAGAAAAAAAAACTACTGCCAACCTGCCTTCCATTGAGGACCTGCTCACTGCACGAGTCAAAAGGAGGGCCATGATCTCTCGCATCCTGGACATAAATTGTTTCAACTCCTACACTCAAAACAACACTATAGAGCACTGCACACCAAGACAGACACAAGAACAATTTTTTCCCCAAACGCCATCACTCTGCTAAACAAATAATTCCCTCAGCACTGTCAAACTATTCATTAAGACTGCATTATTATTACTATGCTCATCGTTCCTATCACCCATCTCCTCCCACTTATGACTGCAGGACTGTAACTTTGTTGCTTGCATGTTTATGACATATTGATATTGATTGTTTCCTGATTGCTTATTTGTACCCTGTGACTATCATTAAATGTTGTACCTTATCATCCTTGATGAATGTATCTTGTCTTTTTATGTACACTGAGAGCATATGCCCCAAAAACAAATTTCTTGTGTATCCAATCACACTTGGCCAATGAAGTATTCTATTCTATTCTATTCTATTCTACTATTCAGGGCACTGTCATCTCTAGATACATTTGGAATGATGATTGACCATACTACCTGGAGATGATGAATAGTTATATTCTAATATAATCTGGAAGATCCCACTATAAGGAAAATCTGATAGATATTTCAAATGCAGCCATTTTATAAAACTACAGTGGACCTGTACTAGATCATTCCTCATGACACAAGTGCCCATAATGATACCAATCTGATTCCCAGAGGTAAATGAGTTTATGCAACAAATATAATGAACATACCGTATAGCTCTCTCATCCCCTTCATATGAACTAATGGCATCATTAATATTTCATACAGAGTAAACTGTTTTTCATTATACATGTTTTGGTGGAAAACAGAAGGAAAAATTAATTCCAAACCACTCTTCATGCACAGCCGATTTTGAAAGGTGTGATATAAAACATAAGCACTTTTGATGAATAATGAGGTGTCAGCTTATCTATCAAGTGTTCATTTAAATAAAAACATAAAAATTCTTTACAACAAAGGATTCAGCAGCATTTTAGAGGAGCTACTACAGCTGTTTTAAAGTTCAGAATAAACCAGTTAAACATTACAATGTTTTATGTGACTTGTGTATAATAACATTTTGCCTGCTTTCTAAGCCTCAATACTTAAGCATAAGGAATTGTCTGATTGTGTAGAGGATACAGGAGTATGTACTTCATATGACTACTCTGTGTTGACAGAAAAGATTTGAAGAAAGGCTGTTATGATATTCAGCTAAATGGGATATGAAGTATTTCACCAAACTGCTGTTTTTGTAATGCACTATCCACTGAGAAGAGCTGAATGATCTGTGGTCTCTAGATTCAAACTGTGTATCTCCAGATTCTCATATTGTCTGACTATTATTACCCTTGAAGAGATGGACTTGGAATGTAAGATTTTGAGGGTTAATATATTTCCCAACTCCTCTTGTCTCATGCCTAATGTCTCGTGCCTAATGGCGCCTGTCAAAACTGCAATATTTGAAAAGGAGGGAGATATCAGGAGCAAGAAGAATATTTTTATATAATTCTTAGCAGATATATTGGAGAGGCAATTTATACCCTTAAATCCAATGTTCTGCTCATAGCAAAAATCCTAAATCAAAGCATTCCAGATGGCAGCTGTATGGTCTCCACTTAAGCATGTCAGCTGAAGGAGAGCCCACCATCTCCCACTATGTTTAGTTCCATTGTTCATCTGCTGTTAACATTTGTTCGCCCTAAAAAACATAACCTACCTCTCTGTAACTTAAATCCATATTTATATGTATTGAACCTTTGGACTAGAAAGCAAAAAGGTTCTGATTCTATGTGACATCCTTTCTATATTTGAAGGGTATTTCCATATTCTTCAATTAACCTCCAGCTGAAACGTATCTTGAACTTTCAATGTCTCTTCTCAAGACATAGTTTCTAGATTCTTTTCTAGGTTCTTTTCTGAAACTTCCATCTTCTCTATATCTTTCTTAAAATGTAGTGTTCTAGACAACTGGTAGATAAAGTTTCTCTGGTATGTTCTGAGCTGCACTCTATCTAGTCAATTCCTATGCAGATGATCCCTATAAAGATGAAATGAATTTTGGGATGAGTTCAAGCATACAGCAACTTGTATATTAGATGCATTTTTATCAATCAAAAACTGGTCTTCTGTATCCCAGAATTTTAGAAATTTTCTTTGTGCTCTGTAGGGTACAAAATGAATTTGAAATAAAGAATCTGAATCAAATTGTTATTGGCAATGTAACAATACATTGTGGTGGTTATTATTAGCTGTACTTCTTGCTACAATTACCAGTTCAACATTTCCTTTGGCAGTTTTATCTTTTTTTTAAAAGCTAAGTTTTACCATAAATACACAAATGGCTGAAATAAGCCATATTGCTACAAAAAGCTGACACACAGCAAACCTTGTTTTAGAAGAAGATTCAGATAGTTCAAATAAGGTTTGGGCTTGAAGTCAAATATGCAACTGCTAAACAGCTGAAGTTTGCCCATCACCAAGTCTAGTTTCCAAAGATTCGTTTCTTTTGGAAAAACGCCATCAAAAATTGAATGTGAATTCTGAAACATTTTCTTTGTTTATTTAAGAAAAGGAAAAGCAAGGCATAAAAAGACTAAAGGATAAAAGGATGAAATGCTTATAACTGTAAAAGATTAAACTTCTATAGATATTAGAGCTTCATTTATGGTACGGTTATGTGTTTTATTTTTAAGCATTCTAATCTGTAACAGGAAGCTATCATTAAAGTTTCTGTTTGCAAAGTGATTTTGCAGCAAAATACTATCACATTTCCCAAATTACATCTATTTGATTTCTTGCTGTGATGGAAAAGAAGAGCCCACAAACACACATATAAATGAGATTTAGGCAGTGAATTTTGACTATTGGTCTCCTTTTAAAACCCCAAAGCAAGTTGGGATAATCCTGCCTCAAGGCTAATCATGAAAAATTATAATATCAAGTTATGCAAGTTGGCATTTATGGGAAAAAGCAAAAAAAACCCATTATCATGAGGACCCAGATTGTTGGGGGCAATATGCTGACTCTGTAAACCGCTTAGAGAGGGCTGTAAAATACTGTAAACCGCTTAGAGAGGGCTGTGAAGTGGTATATAAGTCTAAGTGCTATCATTCAGAATGATTGGTATTATTCCAAAGAACTGACTAAAGAAGCTTTAGCAATTCTGAATATGACAATGCTTAATTTAGTACATTTACTTTTTTTCCAAATAAAACTAAAGCCAACAATATGGTCTTTATTGTTCTTAGTTATGTGATCTATTTAGAAGAGATTGTGTGTGTGTGTAAAATGCTTTTATGGCTAATTAATCATATTTTCTTTTAAAGGATATTTGTATATTTAAAGGAGTGATGTTTTCTGCTTCTCCTATGTAGTACTTTTCACTTATTTTCAGACATAACTCCTTCCTTTTTGTCTCTAACTTGCCTACTAATGTTCCAGACAGCATTAACTGTGTACAGGTAGGGAGCTTGCTAGGATCTCATTAGCTTTTGTGAATCCCCGAACTCTTCTGGGTGCTTTGAAATATAAGATTTGCTAAAATAAAAAAAATCCAAATAAATTGCTGACAATCTAAGAAATGTTACTTCCTTTCTTCAAACAAACATTGGATGAGGTTCCTCACTTCTCTCACTCACTTTTTAAGGTAAGTGAACACCATGTTGTTATGTATATTACTCTTCTGCAACAAACACAGTATTTAGCCTCTTAGATTTTCAGAATTTTTGCATATCTTTGTCACTGAATGTTATTCGTTGCATGTGAATCTTTCTGATATAGAAAGGAGCTTAAGAAAACAACAAAATTTGGGTGTCTATTTAATAAACAATGTCATCTAACATGGAAAAAAACACTCCATTAGTTTAATCAGTTAAAGTTAAATCAATCAAAGAATAAATAGGTGCACTAATACAAATACTCAAACATTCAGGACTGATCTGGTCATTCCTTCCCCTAAAAATGTCACTCTGGCTCCCCTCATCACAGTCAAGTTCTTGCCAGGCTTCTTATAGGAGCCTGTCACACCCTGCTCACAATAACATTTTAAACTTCTGTGCTTAGTCATAGATGCTAATCAGTATAGAAAAGGTTACAAAATAATTTCTAACACTTTGAGGGCTTTCACCCATCCACAAATCTTGAAATGGAGAAGGGGTATGACAATAGCAAGTGTCCCTCAAAATGGCCATCGTATCAAATTTGGTCAAAGAGAACAGCATGACATCTCAAAGAAGACAAGAATATAACTTGCCTTGACCTCACATCAGAAAAATACTGGTTCAGAATAGGAAAGTAGGGAAGTGGAAGCAGCAGTTCACCAAGAAAAACTGATGCTCTACTCAAATTTGCCCACAAGTAAATGTCTTCATATAGCACAAACCAACCAACCAAGAAATAAATCTATCTTACATATTGGATTACATATATTCAGCAAATCTAGCTATTTCATCTACACTGATACTTCCTGTTAAAAAAAATAAAATAATGCTGGATATACAAACCAATGCAAGTGGCTGCCATACAAAAGCCTATCCACCAAACTCCATCTTAACGATTTTCTAGGTAAACAGAAGAGCTGAAGCAAGGACAAGTATCCACTTGTTTAATTTGTGATGCTGTATCAGCAATGGAACATCACTATAGGATCTGAGTGTGTGTGAAAAGGTTGGAAGAAAAGGCATACAGTATCATCTAATTAAGGTTCCCACGCAAAATGCAACAGTTCAAATTCTATGTTTTTCAAACCACAAAATAATTCTCCTTAAACACACTTTCTTCTCAGTCAGCAGTCTTTCCACTCTACTGATTCGTCTTTCTTTAAATCAGTTCATTTAGGCGAAGTTTCTGTACCTAAGAATTGTTTTTCAGCGGTGACCCAATACGAATGTTTTACAACATTTATGATCTAATAGATATTCTTCTATTGGGATCCTTGTGGGGATATGTCCTTTTAACAAATACATGATTCCAAATGGCATTAAATCTATAACTCCAGGCTTCAAATACATGCAGTAACTATCCTGTTTCTTTCTTAAATGACTGTGCCACAACTAGGAATAACAAATTTCATAACTATAAAAGACTTTAGTTTTTTTTTTAGAAAAATGTCATACTCTTTTCTCAAAAGTATAAAGCAAAAGCATTAAATGCAAGAAGTTTATTACTGTATTGCTCTAACCCAGTGGTTCCCAACGTGGGGCCCATGCCCCACAGGGGGAGCAGTTTGATTTTTAATGGGGGCAATTTGAACCTTGTTTAAAGTAAGTTAATGGCATTTTAGGCTTCCTCTGCATGAGTATAGTTCACTTCTTGAGTAAAGTAAGAATTATATGTCATGGGGGAGGGGAATCAGAATTTTAAAGATGGTTAGTTAATATAAACTACTAGCTGAAGATTTGGAAACATTTTATTTTTAATCCAAATGCCAAATGCGATAGTTAACTCATTTTTAAAAACAATTTTAAAGTGAATTCTAGATTTGTACAAATTTCAGATGTCAAATGGGAAAGATAAAATGACTTCTGCAATCAAATTGTTTTAGTAATTTCTCAAAGGCAGGTCTTCCCCTTATGAATAATAGCAATGCTTCTAGTGAAAAAAAAACCTGAATTGGAGGAAGTAACTCTTGATCTCTTAGAATCTCCCTAGGGAAGCAAGGAAGGTCAAGGAGGTTACAGATCACAGGAAAGATCATTAAAAGCCTGACCATTCAAACTCACCTACATCTTGCCCCTCTCATAACTGTAAGATTGCCACATACCTTTTGAGAAGGTTTCCAAAATGTACATTTAGAAGAACTCTTAATGTAATGTTAACCAAGTTTTTTAAAAAATAGAAAAAAGTAACTATATCTTTTTGTATGAAGCTAGAAGAAATATTTATTCTGTATTTGAATAAATACAGAAAAAGATTCTCAACAATCCAAGTTTCAGTATAGATTAGACTACCAGAACAATTGTTTGTAAAAACAGAAGTGTCTTTAATGACTTTAATTGACTCCTATGTTGTAATGTTATCAGCAGGTAACATTACAATACTCTCTATCGTCACTGCAAACAGATTTCTTTCTGCTGCAGGGAAACAAGGCCCTATCAAAGCTTATGCAGCTGCCAGCCATTCTTAGCAGCATCAGATAGCAAGAGAAGCAGCAGCAACCAGCATGTGCATCTTTCAAGGGACCACAGCCCAGAAAAATGTTCACCTCGACTCTGCTGCCTGTTGACCATCCCTCCCAGTGTCCATCGCCGGTCCAAGCGCCTCAGATGAGCCTTGCGTCTCTTAGAAACTATTTGGGAAAAATGGATGAAAGCATAAAAAAAGGAAAGAAATATAAAATGTGATGGGATGGAGAACACAAACTGAACAGAAAACAATGATCATTGCATAGCTTCACCTTGCATTAACAAGGATGTGATAAATAATGTAATGAGATTACTTTACAACATGTCATTAAGTAAGGACCTCACATGACCATGGCGTTTGACTTCCTGCTGGCTTCCACATTGACTTTGTTGTGGGAAGCCTGGCGGAGAAAGTAACAAACTGCAATCACATGACCCTGGGATGTTGCAACAACCAGAAGTATGAGATCTTGTTGTGACTAGCACTGTTAGTAGCACTATTACAAGTTTGAAAGATTGCTGAATGAATGATCATTAAATGAGGACCTCCTGTAATCCTAAGAGGCTGCATGTTTTTGGGTCTCTTGGAAGCAAAATGAGCCTTTAAAACAATGAATATTCAAACTGGTTCTTTATTTAGATTTCAGACATTTTGAAAAAGATTTTTTTTAAACCTAGCATATTGGAAATAAAGTCCTGGAAACAGGTGACATCATGAGGGTGTGAACAGGATAAGGAAGGAACACCCCTGATCTATTCCCAAAACAGATAATTAAAATATTTTAGGTAATTATGAGAGAATAGTGTAAGTAATCTGAGGAAAACATGAACTGAGCCAAAGCTTGGAAGAGTTAGCACACTCAATTTCTATCTTGAGACCAACTTTCTGATTCTTTAAAAATGACATTTAGAGAGATCCAAGGCATTTATATGTGCTGTCAGATATGACAATCTCATCTGTTCAATATGCAGACTCACTTGTGTATAACAAGAAAGGATTCTTTGTGACAGTGTAATTGTTAAAATAGCTGAACACAGAGGACATTTCACTGTTGCTTCTCCCCCTCTCCCTCAGGAAGTAACATGTTTCTTGCATTTATAACTGAATATTTTCAAGTTCAATGTATAAAGAGAAAGAAATAAATCTTTCTTTTACTCAGGACAGATTTAGTCCTGAGTAAAAAAAAATAAAGAATTCATGTGAGGAAAACAAATGTAAGCTTGCATTAAAAGCCCTACTTAAATTTGGTTGTGTTTATTATTTTATTTTTATATTATTTGTATCCTTTTTTATTTTTACAAATAATTCAAGATAGTGAACATATCCAGCATACCTTCCCCTTCCTATTTTCCAAACAACAGCAGCAGAGGTGGTATTCTGCCGGTTCACCTTGCTTCAGGCGAACTGGTAGTGGTGGCGGCGGGAGGCTCTGCCCACCTGCCCAGACGTCATCACAGATGCTCTGCGCATGTGCAGAAGCGCCGCGAATGAGCAAAGTGAGTGCATGCACTCCCGGTTCCAAACCGGTAATGAAGATCAGAGCATTTCTTGCCTGAACAGCAGCCCTGTGAGCTGAGCCAAGTTGAGAGAGACTGAAAGGCCCAAAATCACCCAGATGGGCTTCCATGGCAAGGTAGGACCTGAACTTGTGATTTCCCACTTTCTAGCCTGGTGCCTTAACCACTGACCCAAACTGCCTCTTTATAAATCTACAAATGGATTCCTGAAATTCCTAGTCTACTAATCAAACATCATTTTGCCATACCATTGTCTACTATCCAGCATCCTCTAATAGGTGAGCTGAATCTTTCAATTGTATAGATTTTTTCTTCAACTGACTGAAGACCAATGTGCTCTCCAAGAGGCAAATGCTGATGAATTACAGAAAACTTGCTTTCTGCTCTCCACAACATTTATACTTCCATTTAAACATCGCTGGCTTGAAATTAGAGTATGGACTATGGACTATTAGCTACCTGTACTCCATTATTTTGCTGTTTTTGGTTTTTTATCTCTAGGTATAGTTCAGTGGAATATAATCAGACTGTCACTGCCCTGGGATCCTCAATAAAACTTAATGGCAAGTGTCCTCTATGCACAGTTACTCGGGTTTTAAATGATGAACAACTTATACAGGAATGCAATGAGAAAAATATATGCTAAAATGAAGCAAATACATGGGAATAGATGGATTCAGTTAGCACCATCCAAATGAGGTTAGCTAAAGCACTTTTTGGAAAATGGGTATTTTCTAGATTTTATAGCATACTGTAATCAGACAAAAATGCTTGTGAAATAGAACAAAAGTACAATAACCTTTATATTGCATATGATTAAAGATGTACTTCATTTTAAAAATATTTTAAAATTGAGAGTTTTATAGACATTACATAAAGATTCTCTCAACTATAAGAAATTAAAGAGAAAATTGGAATAAGAAGTTATTAAGATCCTAAATCTCTTGCTAATTAATAGGAATACATTACCAATATATATCACTGTTATAATTATTCCAGCTAATTGCTAGAAGTTTTACATTGCTATTATACAGAATTAACATTTATGTTGAATACCTTTATTAAACTTTCTCAATTTTTTTGTATAAATAAAAAATGAATATTTCTTATATTCCTTATGGACTCCATTCTTATAATCAAGAAGCTCTAGATCACAGTAATCAATTTTTACACTTCCTTGCTTCTTCATTTTTCAGCTGCACTATATTTGAATGCAGAAAAGTGCCTGAAAGTGCATCAGGTTTTCTTACCTTCTCCTCTTTTGGACATGTTAATTTCAGAATCATCTCTAACTCCGCTTTGGGATTCCAAATAAGTTGCAGGGACCCAGCCTTGCTCTTCTGAAGTACTTACAAACCACCAACCTGTAAGGACACAGCAAAATTGTTGTTATAGACAAGCAATTTCTTAGAAACCGTCATCATGGGGTAAAATTGATAATAGAGGAGATATAGAAGCCAGATAGCTGTCATAGAACCTGCTGGAAACTATTTTTGTGTATTTCACTTTTAAGGTTCTACAGAGAGATTTTTAAAAAAATGTGGGTTGTGTTTGTTCCTTTCCAGAAGTATTGCTGGAAGCCTTCCTGAGATTCCTTGTCACAATCTCTCAGCCTTAGGAAAAAGGCAGTGGCACATCTGAAAATCTTGCAAAGAAAACTGCAGGGACTTTATTCAGTCAGTTGCTGACAGTCAAGACTAATTCAAGGCATATGTGCACATGTGCACAACGCATGCACATGCGCGCGCACACACACACACACTTTTTTTGTGGAATTATATATATTTCCATTCCTAAAAACAAATACTTCTTCTTTAAAATGAACTAACATTTATCCAGAAACCTGATTCCCACTTTAGTTGACTAAAATACGCTGAAATACAATTTATAATCCTTCTTACAGTCCAGTGTTAAAAGCAATCTTTAACTTTTGGCAGGTTTTTTCTGCTTCATTCACCATTAAATATAAAGAAAAGTGTTAGTATTGAGAAGTAAAATATATCATTTGATTACTTTGTTTTATATGTATATTGATCAGTAATTTGTAAATTGGGAGTTGGACAATATCTGCTGTTACAGCTATTCAACTGAGAGATGAGGAATAATATAAACCTTCTCTTTTAAAATTCTCTTCTTTCACATACATGTTTGCCAATGCTAGGCCTTTATAATTATGGGGCAAGACCACCCAACTCCAAATTAAGTCGTGGAAATGAATATGAAGCTATAGTGTTTATTATCTGATTTATCTTCCAACTTTTAGTCTAGGGTTAGAAATAATTTGACCATAAATGAAGAGGAGCAGTTGGGACATAGCTGGAAAACAAGGCCTGGATACTGTATTTTTCAGACTATAAGATGCACCCTTTTCCCTCAAAAAAGATGCTGAAAATCCGGGTGCATCTTATACACTGAATACAGAATTTTTGCCTCCCAAAACCCCGCCCCCTTCACCAAAATGGCCGTGCATAGCCTCTAGGAAGCTTTTAGAGAGATCCTGGCGGCTGGAGAGGGCAGAAATGAACACAAAATCTACCCCCCCCCAGCCCCCAGGAGTACTCTATAAGCTTCCTAAAGGCTATCCAGGCCTTTTTAATGAAAAATGTGCCCGTTTTCAAAATAAATGGGCTGTTTTTTGCTCCCCCCCCCCTTTACAGGAGCATTCTGCAAGCTCCCTAAAGGCTATTCATGCCTTTTTTGGGGGGGAAAAAACAGGCCCGTTTTTGTGAAAAATGGGCTGTTTTGGGGAGGTTAACAGAGTGCAAAAACTTTTTTTTATTTGCCTCTTCAAAACCTTGGTGCATCTTATACTCCGGTGCATCTTATATTNTGCCGAGTTATAGTGAAGGGGGGAAGTCACAATACGTTACATGAGGATACCATGATGATGCGAGTTTGACACCCCTGATCTAGACTAAGTTTATTTTTCTGTTTATATTCTATTAATCTCACCCAGTCAAGCATTGCTCAGTAGCAGTTTCTTCAAAATACCCTGCCCATGTGTTTTAGTTGTTAAATTTTTGAAATTGTACTAAACCACTCAGATGGAAAAAAAGAGACAATTGCACGAATTGAGAAACACAGTTGTCACAATGACAATGTAGAGTAATTTTGTGAAATCTGTGACCCACCTAATTAAGAATTCAAGCTATTTTATTTAAAAAGCACCTGTCCTTCAATTGCAAATTCCACTTTTTATGACATGATTCCTAGATACCATTAAAAGGTATTGGAGCAATGATGACTGACAGCTTTTCAGCTGTTCCCTTGGAACTTTCTGTTCTCTTGAAGGAAAGAACTACATAACTTAAACAGGAGCAAGGTCTTATGAATTAAAGTATCTCACTGTCAGTCTTCAAGATAAAAGATAAAGAAACCAGAGTTATAAATGCTAATACAACTTTTATTGTAATATTATAGTAATACAATCTTACAAGACTGAATGCACATCCCCCTTTCTTTTTCTTCATGAGAACCAGAGACATCATGTCCGAGATTCTTTCTCAAATTATATTGCTGCTTCAAGCTCAGGTTTTGTTTACCTGACTATTACCTTAGTGGTGGTTCTACCGCCTGTTTCTCAAGGTTATTCCTACTGCCTATTACTCATTTGACATAAAAGAGGTATGCTAGTTGATCAGCAAAATAAAATAAATATGTAAACAATTGCCTGCCATTTGGTTTGGATTTTGATATTGAATGAGGGAAGTGTGCACTCTTTTTGCAAAGCATCTTGGGATAGCTCTAGTATTAGATAACTATCATACTAACTGGGTAGCAGTGGTGGGTTCCGGATCACGTTCCAACTGGTATGTTTGGAACTGGCCCGGTGTCGTCCACATGGACACGTGCGGTGCATGTGTGCCTTAGCGCTTCCATGAGCCTCCAGCTGCTCAGCGGAGTGTCACACAGGTGCTGTATGTGCCGTGAGCATAAGACTTAAAAGACCAGTAAGGAGCTCGGGCAGGTGGGAGGGCCCTCCAAAGCACCATACTGGAACGGTATTCGGTGCCCTGGGCAGGCTCTGGTACGCCTGTACCAGGGTGTACTGCCTGCAACCCACTACTGCTGGGTAGGATACGTCATTGATGGTGACAGTGGTATTTCTGAACAACAGATATAACAGGAACTCTTCTATCCACCTACTTGCTCATGGAACTTGGACAACTCAGACCTAAGTAGATTTACCTTTGTGTAAAGCATAAAAATAGTATTACTTGATGTATTTTCTACCTTGCACAGTCACTCACACAAAAAAGGAGATTAGGTTCTAATCTTAACAGATATAATCATAAAAAGAAATGCCCAATTTGTCAGACAGGATTATCATTCCAATCTCAAACATACATGAAATTAAAACTCTTGTTCTTAATTTCCAGGGTTCGGCGAAACAGGACCATTTGAATTTGTCACACACACACACACACACGCACACGCAAACATATATATTTGTTATATTTGTGCTGATAAATAAATAAAGGGAGACTAGTATAGATCTATTTCAA